ATTCCAAAAAGTTGTTTGATAACGTAAAGCACATTAAATGAAGCAATGTCAAAAAATGCAGGAATAATAAAGTACCTAAAACAGATAATGAAAACTAAAATCTTTAGATATTAAAAAAAAAAAATCAATTAGCATTCTACATTTAAGACAAGTATGCTCAGACAAGAAGTGGTAGTTAACTACTGAACTAAAATCCAGCTACAACATTAAACCAGTTCAAATTAATGTTTAACTTATAAGAGCTATATGAAATGCACTGTTAATGAAATCCTTGACCCTGGGTGGGGATAACTGATTAGAGGCAAGAAAAGTTCAGACCACATAATTTAGTCTCATACACTGGTGAAAGAATCTGTAGAGAGTAGGAATCTTGGGTTATCAGAAATTATCCTGCCTATATTATGTAATGATAATTACATGCAGTTAACAAATAACCTACTAGAAGATGAATGTTTCTAACAATGCAATTAAGTCTTATACCTAGCAGGAGAAAGTGAAAAGTTAGACCTAAATAGTTTGATTAGAAAAAATAAACTGTAAAAGGTTTTTTTACCCAAATTGTTCTCAAATATTGAGTTTAATATGTGAGCATCCATCTGCTAAAAACTGAAACCAGTAATTTATTTTAGTTCTACTTGAAGGACTTTAATCATAATATTTAGGTTTGCAAATGAACCCAGACTAATGGATAGAAGACATAATTCTCTTAGTATTCCTTTGACCAAGCAATATTACCCAAGAGATATTTATAATATAGTTCTATTTAGTTTTATTTTATTTTTTTATCCTCACCTGAGGACATTTTTTGATATTTTGTTCAGATAGAATGGGAGACAGAGAGAGAGAGAAACATCAACGTGAACGGGACACATCAAGTGGTTGCTGCCCGCACGACCAACCAGGGCCAGGGACAAACTGCAACCGAGGTACATACCCTTAGCGGGAACCGAACCCGGGTCTCTCCAGACCGCAGGCCAACACTCCAACCGCTGAGCCAAACCGGCCAGGGCTAATATAGTTCTATTTAAAAACCTACTAAACTTTTTGCCCAGCCGGTGTGGCTCAGTGGTTTAGCGTCAACTCATGCACCAAGAGATCGCTGGTTCGATTCTCAGTCAGGGCACATGCCCAGGTCGTGGGCCAAATCCCCAGTGGGGGGCATGCAGGAGGCGGCCAATCGATATTCTCTCTCATCGATGTTTCTCTCTCCCTCTCCCTTACTCTCTAAACATCAAAAAAGAAAAAAAAAAATTTAATAAATAAAAACCTAAACTTTTATAATGCTCAATAACAACTTTTAAAACATCACATTACATACAAACACTGTAATGGTACCTTAATATCCATCTATTGCTAATGTGCTGTAGAATACCTGTGCTAAGGTTAGCATTGTAGCAAATGTGTAGTATGTCTTAACCTTAATGCGGTGAAGCAGACCTTCAAAATTTTTCAAAGTCATCTTCTTTAATCAGGTGTGTACACAATGTTTGGTATGAATAGCATGCCAACTAGGGAAGCAAAATATTAACCAGTAAAGTTGAATTTAATACTCAAGAAAAATAATTGATCACCTTGGAAGGATGCTAGTAAATCAAGTCATTCTAAAAACAAAGAGAGAAAAATCAAACATTTATTCTACCTGCCTTCCCTTTAAGGAACTGTCATCAAATAACTGATATGGGGACATTTCTCAATATATGTTCTACTAATAAATATAGAAATGACAGAAATGAATATCACAGTTTTGCAAACTCCTCTAATGAAATAATTAATGCATACAGGCAAAACACACTGATAGCCGAGATGCTCATAAATTATTCTAGCCTCTCCCCACCAAAGAGAACATGAATCAATCAAGCCTCTAACTATTCCATTTTGCAGACACCAGCAGAGAAGAACAAATAATTTAAATCGAGGGAAGTCAACCAGCAAAACCCAGACTGAGAAAAACTCTAAAGTTAAAACCTGGTTTCTTCAACATATAGAAGAAATAAAAATTATGGTGAGGGGTAACCTATAGATTAAAAACTTAACAGATATTTTCAATAAAATACATGTATGCTTTGTTTAAATACTTAGTCAAATAACCAGCAAAAAAATAAAAACATTTATGATATTATCAGGAAAGTTTAAACACCAACCAAATATTTGATGATTTAAAGAATTATCACATTGTGATTATGTTTTTAGGAGTTCTTATTTTAGAATTTATTTTTAAATCTTTATGGATAAGATCATATGTTGTCTGGAATTTGCTTCAAAATAATTCAGGGGTAGCCCTGGCCAGTTTGGCTCAGCAGTTAGAACGTTGGCCTGTGGACCGGAGAGTCCCAGGTTCGGTTCCCGCTAAGGGCACATACCTTGGTTGCAGTTTGTCCCCGGCCCTGGTTGGATCGTGTGGGTGGCAACCACTCGATGTGTCTCTCTCACATCAGTGTGTGTCTGTCTCTCTCTCTCTCTCTCTCTCTTGGTTGCAGTTTGTCCCCGGCCCTGGTTGGATCGTGTGGGTGGCAACCACTCGATGTGTCTCTCTCACATCAGTGTGTGTCTGTCTCTCTCTCTCTCTCTCTCTCTCTCTCTCTCTCCCCCTCTCTCCTTCCTGCTCTATCTGAAGATAAATGCAAAAATGTCCTTGGGTGAGGATTTAAAAAAAAAATTTTTTTTAAATAATAATTCAGGGTTAGATACAGTGTAGTGTAGGGTTATAGATGAAACATTATTGAAAATAAATGGATAATTACTGAAGCGGGGTGACAGATACAAAAAGGGTTCACTATAGTATCTTTTCAATTTGTGACTGCTTCAAATTTTTCCATAATAAAAGTTCAAAACATAAAGATGAACTAAGAAGTTCTATATGACACTCCATAGAATAAGGACAAAAGAACTCCATGTCCCTCAGAGGTCAAAACAAATATTAAAAAATCTTAATGGTGAGTTAGAAAAGCCTTCTCCCTATACACACATACTATTACTACTTGACAAATGAGAAAACTGAGACCCAAAGAGTAAGTCTTGCTCAAGGTCACAAAACAAAACTAACAAAGTCAAAACTAGACTCCACAATTGCAAGCCCAGAAATAAATCCAAGTTGGATCCAAGTTAAAAGAAGTTCTAAGCAGTCCTGAAGTAGTCTGAAAGCCCATCAAAGGTGTAAAAAAAAAAAAGTGTTAAAAGTAAGGTGAAAAAAAGTCAGGTGGCTTGAAGGGCTATATGCAAGAGTGAGAGCAATAAAGCTAGAAAGTATAGAGAACTGGGTGTATGGTAATCATCCTCACTATGGAGCAGACTTATTAAATGCATGATGTGTACTATTTGAAAGCTACTTGAATTCAAGGTGTTTGCGGGGAAAAAAGTTGTCTAGTTTAAAGCAGCTTACACATGAACTGGTGAAACAAGATCACTATATTAAATAACAATTTTTTGCAAACAATTGAAAAATATTTTAAGTGCACAAGTGATATAAATTCTTAAACATAAAAAGGGGACTTATCTTCCTATCCAAGAATAGGCTTCATAATTTGACTGTGAAGGGCCTTCCATTACTATTTACTTAGATTTTAATGAACAGAAGGATGTACATTTATATTAAATGTCATTTAGAATAAAATTCTGTGTAGGTCAATAAACTATACTATCTTTTCAGTTAGCACAGTGTCACTTAAATAAGACATGAACTCAACCTAGAAACATAAGACAATGTAACCCCATTTACCTTTTGTCATTCAGAAAATAGTAAAACTTAATAAGTTTGATATATTTTTAAATAACTCACTAGGTATTCATTCTAAAATGCATTTTAATTTCTGGCTAACATGTGTTAGTGACTATTTCAAAAGTATCTGGTGATTTGAATTCTTTTTATATTGGCAGTGTGGTCTATTTTTAAAAAGACATTTCTGGCATTAAATTACCCTAAGATTAAAAGCTATTTTAAAAATCTATACTAAACATTTCAAAGTATATGTCCTTCTATAATTGTAGAAATACCAAACCAGAAAGTCAAAGAAAATTCCAGTGTAACCTCTAAAATTTAATATTACAGATAACTGTTAAAGAATAACTTGCTGAAAGTATAAAAAAGGAGCCGGAAGGGATAATGCAGAAACAGAATCTGAGACTTGAAAACTTAACCACACAGACCTAAAGTAACTTAAGTAGACTAAAGATGTTTCTCTGACCACTGCCAATATCTTCAAAGAGATAATGTAGCTCCTAACTTGAAAAAGTTGTTTTTGAGTAGTACCCTTCTCCTCCAATAACCTAAAATCAAAGCTAACATGTAAAAATTCACATAAAGGCAAAAAGAGAAAATTAATTTTGAATGACAAAATCAAAACTATAAAGGAATCATAATGGATATGACCATGGACTTATCAGGCAATACTGAGTTTCCAGCTGAGTTCTGCTACTCACTAGCCCCCTTAACCTCAGCATCAGTTTTCTCATCAGTAAAAGGTGATAATTACAATACCCATCTCACAGGATTATTGTTATCAAATGAGAAAAATACTCATCAGGTCCTAACATCATCACCGCAAGCTTAGAGTAACCACCTCAAATCAAAAATCTTTTTATATAATCAGTAACCTTTTTCATACAACTTAAAAGGTTAACCATAAGAAAAATGCTTAATGCTCTTCTTGTGAAAATATCTCTATCCTCCCACTTGTGGGAGAAAAAGAAAAGCACAAACAAAAATTAAAACATTTTATTTTTCCCTTAAGGTCAATTTTACTTCATTTTAATGTTAATATAATTTTTGGATCACTGAAGACAAAATAAAAACCACACCCTACAGTTTTTAATAGTATACAGTATTGTGCATGATGTATTAAAACCTGAATAAACAGGAAAACAGCAAATCCCATGTTTTTAAATTTTGCGTCATTACTATCAATAAGTACACTATTATCCATTAAATAAAGTGATAATAACGCCTGCCACAAAATTTTATAACAAAGTATTTTAAAATTTAGAAATAAAAAGAAATCTGTTACCTTTGTACAATAAAGCATCCAAAGTTCAAAGAGCCTCTCTCTGGATGCCATTCTGGCTTTCACTCTGGCACTTTAATTTTTCCTCAAAAAAAAAAATTATGTTCAAGACCACAGCATGTTCATTTTATTTTCCAAGTTTTTCAGCTGTTACAATAAAGCTCAAAGCAGAAGGGAAAACAAAAAGAAGTGAAATAAATGGACTGTCTTCTGGTCAATAAAATTCAGTTTCAGCAGTTACTCCAACTTATCTTCATCAGTGGTAGTTGGGCAATTAAATAAACCTGTGAAAGAGAAATATATGCAAGTATCTGCTTGAAAAAGAGGTCAAACTAAAAATTTTAGATTTATCAGAACTGGAGATATTTATCTACTTCACTTCCCACAAACAACAGCATAAGCTTTTCACAGTTAGGTTTCATAGAAACGTGTGTTTCATAAAAACATTACAGCCAATAGTATTTCACATGAATATAGTCAGGATCCTCGAGGGTAGACTCAGAAAGATACGTGCTCATAACCAAAAATGCATCCAGTGATAATAAGCTGCAACACGACATCCCCACTCATATTTTCTATAAAAAAAAAAAGTACACTTACTACTGACATAAATTGCCTAAATCTCGTTGGGAATGTCTGTCGCTATGCTGCAGGGTAGGGCGTGGGGTGGAGACGGAGGAATTCCTGGTTTGTTTCAACAATCCTCGAAGGGTGAAAACCAACCTGCCCACCTGGCCTCTCCACCTCTCCCCATCCAGGAAGAAAGGCGCACGCCAGCACGGCAAGGTAAATGCCCCGGCAAAGCCTGCAAGTGTTCTCGGAGATCTTTACATTTCCTCCTCGCATCGCAGACAACCGAGAGAGGCAAACTTGGTGGGCCACGCTGCCAAGAAAAGCTCTGGAAATGGGGCAGGGAGCTCGGCGTCTCCCACCCGCTATCCACGCCCGCCCGACCGCCCCGGGACACACCCGAGTCAACCTCGCCCCCTCACAGCCGCCCCTCACTCTAGAGCGCTCACCACCGAGCCCCCGGGGCCCTCCCACTTCTGCCACGCAAACCCCTTTTCCTTACGACCCACTCGCTCTCACCGCGCTCACGTTAGGGAGTTGCGCCGACGCCACAGGCCGACGTCTAACTTACTTGCCTCGCCCCCTAACCAACCCGAAGCCCCGAGTCACCCCGCAGCTAGGCGGCGGGCGGGAGAGGAAGGCGGGGCTGCGACGGCGCGGGGCGGGGCGAGGGCTGGGAGGAACCAGGGGCGGGGCTGCCCCCTCGGCTAATCATCCCCGTCTCAGAAAATTTACTCGGCCCTGGGGCAGTCGCTGTTCATTGGTTGCTCGTGCTGAGGAGGCGCGGGGCGACCTGAAGCCCCGCTCCAGCATACTTGCGCAGTCGCAGTCTCTTTGTCTCCCGAAAATCCGGCGGCTGGCGCCATTCCAATTGGTCTTTTCCCAGGCTTGGACGTGTCAGGGGGGCCGACGTGCTGACGTCCACGCCCCGGCACTGCGGGGGTCCGGAAGACGTAGCGTTCGGCTAATGGCGTTATTTCCGGGAGTCATCGGAGGGCACTACAATGACGACAATGTGTGTTTTTGGATTTCTTGTAAAAGGGGGATTGGTCCCGGTAGTATATATTAATGCGAAAACAGACAATTGTTGCTATACCTCACCCCCCAAAAATCCTTTTCCTTACACATGCTTATGCCTCGTACTTTGCCCGTCGCCCGAGCGCGAAAAGCTTAGTTTAGCACCGCTAAAAGTTTCAAACCGGTTTCACTCTTTCAAGAAAAGAAGCAAAAGAGAACTGGCTGCATATACGAGACACAGACAACTTTCAAGGTTTTTTAAGAGTGGGGAGACTCATAAGATTACTCGCCTTTAATACCCCTAAACTTATTGTGAAAAATGTCAAGCATTTACAAAAATAAACTAGTATATTATGAAACCCCACTTCATACCATCACCAGTCTTTCAAAGTTACCAGCTATCGTCCAGTCTTGTTTCATGTATACCAACAGTCAGAAAACTGTAAAAGGCCAGAGAGTAAATGTTTTAGGTTTTTCACACAACAAAAATAAAAATAACAACATATGGTATGTGAAAAATAGGTGAAATTCAAGTTTCACCGTTGTAAAGATTGTTGGGACACAGACATGCCCATTCCTTTACTATTAGTAGGTATTTTCACTCCAAGATGACTGAGTTGAGATTAATTTAGAGTAGTTGTTTGCAAATTATGCCTTTCAACATCTGTTCTTGTCAAGCAGGCATGTGAAAACTTTAGGAAGAGAGTGAGGAATTCTGATTGCTAGACTCCCCCATTATAGTAATTAGCAGTTACATTTTTACAACTGGTCAGTCCAAGAATCTAGGGAGTAAGTATCCTTGCCATCTATCACATATACCTCACATTCAATCACTTTCAACTGTATCTTCAAAATATATCTGGAATTCAGCCATTTTCTACATCACCACCACTACCACCCTGAAATGAGTTACCATTAAATCTTTTCTGGTTTATTGTAAAGGCAATATTTCTCCCTGCCCTACTTAGGCATTCTCCCCACCTATGGATGACTTTCACCATTGCAATAAAAGATTTTTTAACATAGAAGATGCCAGTCCTCTGCTAAAACCTCTCCAGTGGCTTCCCATCCTACTTAAAACAGCCAGGAAGGACCTGTGTTTTCCTCCCACATTTCCCTAATTTCTCTATTATCCTGGCCTTCCCTTATTTCACTCCAGACACATGGCTTCCTTGTTGCTTCTCAAATTCACAAAGCACACTGCAGTCTCAGGGATTTTACATAAATTGCCCCTGTACCTGAAATGCCCTTTCCCCTGATGTCCACACACAATCTTCAAGTTTCTGCTCAAGAATCCACTTATCCATTCCTGCATTCAGGATGTTTGTGCACTCCAAATTTCATAGGTTGACATCCTAACCCCCAAGATGATGGTATTAAGAGGTAGGGGCCTTTGAAAACTACTTATCAGGGAGTAGCCCCCGTGAATGGGATTAATGCTTTTTTAAAAATATGTTTTTATTTTTATTTATTTTTTTAGAGAGGATGGGAGAGACAGAAACATCAATGTGAGAGAGAAACATCAATTGACCACCTCCCATATACCCCCCCACTGGGGACTAGCCCTAAATCCAGGCATACCTCCCAACCAGGAATTTTATAAAATACAGTCAACCCTTACCACTTCGCACTTCAACTTTCACGGCTTCACTCTATCGCGTTTTTTCCCAATATACTCATTAAAAAGTTCATCGAGACAGTGAAAATCATACTGTATGCGCTCAGTTGTTTGAGTCAATTATACACCCCTGTATTACAATTAAAATTAAAATTACTGTATGTATGGACTGTAGGCCTATGTATTCGAGCACCCCAGGAATCCTTCAACGCCAAGTGCAACCGCTAGAGTCTGGAAGGGATTAACCGCAATAAACGAGGGATATCTGTAGATCTCACAGAGCTCCCTAGCCTTCTCTGCCTTATGAGTACACAAGGAGAAGTCTGGGAGCTGGAAAAAGGCATTCCTCCAATCATGCTAGCACTCTAATGTTGGACTTCCAGTCTCCAGAACTATGAAAATTAATTTCTTTTTAGAAATGACTCAGTCTGGTATTATTTTAGAGCAGCCCAAATGGACTAAGACATTTTGTGAAGCATTCCCTGATCCTTCATTAGAAAATAGCATCCCTTTTTCTCCCCTACTTTTTCACTATAGCATTTAACAGCTGACATTTCTTTGTTTATTATTAGTTCCTCCCTAATAAAATGCAAGAAACATGAAAATATGACTTTATTCACTGCTATATCTTCAGGTCCTTAAATAGTGTCTTCTTTTTTTTTTTAATCTTTACCCAAAGGCATTTTTGCATTTATCTTCAGGTGGAGAGGGAGGAAGAGAGAGAAAGAAACATCAATGTGAGAGAGATACATCGAGTGGCTGCCACCCACACAACCCCAACCAGGGACGGGACAAACTGCAACCGAGGTACATGCGCTTAGCAGGAACCAAACCAGGGACTATCCAGTCCGCAGGCCAACGCTCCAACCACTGAGCCAAACTGGCCAGGGCCTTAAATAGTGTTTTATACACAGTAGGCGGTATTTGAAGACAGTATAATGAAAGAAATAAATTATCTCTTTCACTATGTATCTGTACTAGTCTACCTCCAGTTCTGTTCCCACTACAAACTGTTCGTTTATAGCATGTTGGACTCATCGTAAGACTAACTCCATAGCCCTGGCCAGTTTTGCTCAGCGGTTAGAGCATCAACGTGCAGACCGAAGAGTCCTGGGTTCGGTTCCCACTAAGGGCACGTACCTCGGTTGCAGTTTGTCCCCAACCCTGGTTGGGGTTGTGTGGGTGGCAGCCACTCAGTGTGTCTCTTTCACGTCGATGTCTCTCTCTCTCTCCCCCTCCCACTCTATCTGAACAAAATATGGAAAAATTTCCTTGGGTGAGGATAAAAAAAAAAAAATGTAATCAATTTGTAAATTATATCAAAAAAACACATGCACCCTTTTTATGAAGATGGAGCCGAAGGCGAAGAAGGAAACCCCTGCCCCTCCTAAAGTCGAAGCCAAAGCAAAGGCTTTGAAGGCAAAGAAAGCAGTGCTGAAAGGCGTCCACAGCCACACAAAAAAGATCTGCACATCACCCACCTTTCCTCGGCCTAAGACACTGAGGCTCCGAAGGCAGCCTAAATATCCCTGGAAGAGTGCACCCAGGAGAAACAAGCTTGACCACTATGCCATCGTCAAATTCCTCGACTACAGAGTCAGCCATGAAGAAGATAGAAGACAATACACTTGTGTTCATTGTGGATGTCAAGTCCAACAAACACCAGATCAAACAGGCTGTGAAGAAGCTCTATGACACTGATGTGGCCAAGGTCAACACCCTGATCAGGCCTGATGGCGAGAAGAAAGCACATGTTCGACTGGCTCCTGACTATGATGCTTTGGCTGTTGCCAACACAACTGGGATCATCTAAACTGAGTCCAGCTGGCTAATTCTAATATAAAAATTTTACACTGAGCCTTGGCCTGTTTGGCTCAGCGGTTAGAGCATCCTGCGGTCCGGAGA